GCGCCGCTTCTCTCCCTCCCTCCCTCCTAGGCTTGAGAGCCTGAGGGGAGGAGGCAGGGCTGGGGATTTGGGGAAGGGGCGGAGTTGAGGCGAGGCCGGGGGTAATTAAAGAACGGGGGGCAGCCAAAATTGTTTTTGCTTTGGGCGGCAAAAATCCTAGAGCCGGCCCTGGCCCCCGGGACTCTGATGTATGTTTTCTGCGGTTGGGTGATGCAAGGAATGTAAAGAGTAAAATGGCACCAATCCCCTGGGCTAACAAAATGTAACCCCGGGACTCTGGGGTGGATGATGTTGCTTTAAGTAATGTTTCTTTGTCTTCTTTTAAAATCAAACAGTGTGAATTTATTTTAACTCAGCAAATTATTCATCTCAGGCAATTGCAGTAGGATATAGAGCAGGGGTCGACAACCTCCGGCACGTGGCTCACCAGAGTAAGCACCCTGGCGGGCCGGGCCGGTTTGTTTACCTGCCACGTCGGTAGGTTCAGCCGATCGCAGCTCCCACTGGCTACGGTTCACCATCCCAGGCCAACGAAGGTGGTGGGAAGTGGTGCGGGCGAGGGATGTGCTGGCCGCGGCTTCCCGCCACCCCCATTGGCCTGGGATGGCGAACTGCAGCCAGTGGGAGCTGCGATCGACCGAACCTGCTGATGCAGCAAGTAAACAAACCAACCCAGCCTGCCAGGGTGCTTACCCCGGCAAGCCACGTGCCAGAGGTTGCCAACCCCTGATATAGAGCTTTACATTTCTAGGTTATTGTGTTAAAAATGTGCCTTAGGTGGATTACTGCATGGGGAATTTACCTTTATCTAAGGTAGGCAAATTTTGGGGACTAAATAAGTGACAGTGACCCTTTGAGATTCATTGCGATGGGCATAAATCAGTTTATATGAAGGAAAACACATACTCTTTAAAGTATATAGAAGTTTATATGAACTTTCTTACTAAGAATAAAATAGTAATTAAAACACTAATAATGCATTTAATTTTAGCTTCCTAAAACTGACAGTATCTAGACAGTTTAATAAAAAGAAACTAAATAAAACATAAATATTCAACTTGCTCAAATACATGCACATACTCAGGTTTAAAGGCAAATGTAAATTACATAAACCAATAACTCATCAAACACAAAATTAAATACTTTCTGGAATAAATATGAATATTATTGATGGGCTCAGGAGTGAATTGTCATCTAAACTATAAGAATAAACAATGAATACAAATTCCAGAAATGCAAAATACAAAACAATACAAATCATGCAGAGAAATATTATTATGCAGAGAAACTGGTTATTCACTAAGGTTCTGACATGAAGTTTTAAATAAATGGTGATTTGGTGTTCATTTTTCTTTTCCAAAAGTCCTGGGGAAATGCATGACTTAAGTCTTATAATTGCGATGCTCCTCTGAAGCTTTGACTTTGAGTCCAGAAAGTTAATTGAAGTACGAGACGAACAAGTGATCAGTTCTGTAAAAACAAAACCTCAGCCAAGAAAAAAATGAACTGAGAAAACTTGATAATGTTGTGCTGAAATTCCACATTTTCTGTTGTCCAGAGCAGTAAAAAACGTCTGCACAAAGCTGACTTTTAAAAAATTACAGTTTAAATAATGTTTGGGTTTCTTTGTTTGTTTGTTTGTTTGTTTGTTTGCCAGGGAAAAGGCCATCATACAATGTTGTCTCCCTCTTCTTTCATTGTGACATACATCAACAGCACGCCACAAGGGTCTGATCCTAGTCCATCTGAATTCAGGAAGAGTTTTCTCATTGGTACCAATAGGAATAGTCTCAGGCCCTAACATAGGAACTGGTTCAGAAGGATGGAGGAATTTGCAGCATCATGTTATTCTAAACTGCCATTTTACTCTTTACATTCCTTGCATCACCCAACCGCAGAAAACATACATCTGCGTGTTTCAAACAAAACTGGTCTCTATTAAGTGATCTTTATTTACTAGAATTAATTTTACCCATGCTTTAGCCTCCATAGAGTTAGACTGTGGCACTTAGCGACAGCTCTGAATAAGGGGTAGTGTAGTCCTGCACAGCCTTACCGGGAGCTCTGGGAGCGATTGTGTTTTAGGAGGAGCAATCCTTAAACTGTGATTGTCCCGGGCCCTTTCATGGTAAGCAAGCAGGACAGACTAAGTATGTCTTCTTTCTCTTGTGCTAGGGCGAGGGGAATCCTGGCACAAGGAGAGCAGGAATGCTATAGTATTTTGTACAGCTGACTCTTCCACGTGGCAAAATACTACCAGAGAGCTCAGAGTTACTTAGTACACTGCACTGATTAGAGCTGTGCATGAAAGATCTGAAGCTTTTGTAGCTCATTAAATGCAATTATCCACCTCATATGAATTTCCCAGAGTGAAAAACAATGCAGAACTTGATCTAAAAAAAAAAAAAAAATACCAACCAAACGAAAAGGAACTTTCCAAATTTATATGGTCTTAAGGGATTTGCAAATGTTGGTAGATGCTTTTGAAGGCAGTCTGGGAATTGTAATAAATTCCTTCCTGAGAAGTCACTGGCCCCAGGAACAAAAGAGAACATTGCTTTAGGCCATTAAAGTTGGCACAGGACACAAAGTATTCTAGGGCACAGAGCAGAGGGGGAAAAAATCACTCATCCTTAGTCCAAGATTCAAGGGATTATTTCCAACAACCACCTGTTATATATAAAGGATGACATATGTTATAAATTGCTGAGCATTGTATTGTACTGTACTATATATCACTCTGTTACTCCAAGACACTTTCTTAGTTCAGCTGCCTTTTTTTCCATCTGTTGAATGTTCCAGTGCCACTGTCTTCTGTTCGACTGGAGTTTGTTCAGTTGACAATGCAAACGTTTTAGAATAGCATCACTTCTTTTATTCTGTACCTAATAAAATAGAATAAATACATCTGAGGGCTGTTTGCAGGTAACACATGGAACACAAAGATTCAGACTAATGTAGCTGGCAGGGCTCTAGGGTCAGGAAAGCTGCACTGCTCTGGCAAACGTTGATTTGTACAGAAAAGACTATAGACGATACAAAGAGTAGATAGTTTTTAATTCCTCAAAAACTGGATTTGACTGTAACTTAGGTTACTAGAAAAATAAGTTAGATCAGCGGGTCTCAAACTGTGGGTCAGGACCCCAAAGTGGGTCATGGTCTTATTTTAATGGGGCCACCAGGCCCAGCATTAGATATGCAGGGACCCAGCGCTGAAGCTGAAGCCCTAGTTCCAGCACCACCTGGGGGGACAGGGCTCAGGCTGTGGCCCCCTCTCCACCCCACCCCGGGCGCCAGGGCTTGGGCTGCGGCCCCCTCCCAGGGTTATATAGTAACTTTGTTGTCAGAAGGGGCTCATGGTGCAATGAAGTTTGGGAACGCCTGAGTTAGATGATCTCTTTATAGTCTCCAATATTCATATTATACAACCAACCAAATGCTTTGCTGACTTTGGCCTAGGAGTTCTCCATCCAAACACCTCATAGACCAAGGCATTTGCCTTGTGGAACTTTCTCGACTTTTCACAAAAAAAAAAGGATACCCTCAAAGGGGATGTGTGTGTGTGTGTGTGTGTGTGTGTGTGTG